AGAGACTTGAAATGGGCTGAAGACTACCTCACAGGGAGGAAAGCCAAGGTTTGCTTCAATGAAGCAGTCTCCAGAACAATGAGTATACAACTCGGGACCCCCCCCCCCCCCCAAGGAGAGGTCTTAAGCCCTACACTATTCAATGTACTTATGAACGCCATTGCAAATAGTGAATTTCCGGAAGGAACACAACCAGTGGGATATGCAGATGATGTCCTAATACAAGCTCCCACCTTGGGAAAAATTAAGCAGTCCCTTGAACTCCTTGGAAGGAAATGTATTGAGCTCTGTTTCACTCTCTCCACAAACAAGACGAAAGCAAACTCTCCCCACAAGCGGGGAGAAAATGAACTACAAATTAATGGTGTAACACTTGAATGGGTTGACCACTATCGGTACCTTGGCGTCACTGTCGGCTCTAACAAGGGGAAGAAAGAGGAGCTCAATCAACTCATAGGAACATGCAAAAGTCGACTCAGGGCACTGAAAGCTATGACCTGGAATGGACATGGAGCCTCTATTGCCGTGTTTAAAATGATGTACACAGCCTATGTGCGCTCCGTCATAGACTATGCCGCACCAGTTCTGTGCACCTACTCCCAAAGTGATATGAGTGGCTTGACAGTATACAAAATGAAACCATGATAATCATTCTTTGAGTCCCAAAAACTGCCAAAACGTCTAATCTACAAGAGCAGTAGTCCCCCCCCCCAGTGTCAAAGCAGAATTAAGAAGCTGAATGCTAAGGTTGCAATTGAGATCCCCATTACAATGACATTGCCAAGAAAAAACTGAGCTCTGTGCTACTTTCAGGGGGAAACAGGAGAAGCAAAAAATGGCATCACAGATCAGTCTGCTACCTGGAAGAGCTTCACCTGCTTGAGCAAGCCCGTGAGCTCCTGCCTGTAGAGAGGTTACCTCCCTGGGAGGATGACTCATGCAGGATTATCATCAATGAAATGGCAACGAAAAAATCCAACATGTTACCACAAGAAATGAGGCACAAGTATCTCGAGGAAATTTATAAAGAAGCCAGAAGTGTATATACACTGATAGGTCGTCTAATCCTGTCATTGGCAGTTCTGGGGCAGAATACCCTGTAATTAGGAATAATGCCTTTCAAAACACAAGTGAAGAATAAGCGCGTATTGAGAACTATGCCTCTTCAACGCAAGCAGAGCTAACTGCCATTGTTATGGCGTTAAGATTTCTTGAACGAAACACTAATGGTGCAGTGATCTGCACTGACTCTAAGGCAGCACTACAAAGCCTTAGTAAAAACCAGCCAGAAAATCTTGCGATAGTCGCTGAGATCAGGAGAGCTGTGAGAGTACTAACCAATCAGGGAAGAGTCACCAAGTTCCTGTGGATCCCCTCCCATGTTGGGGCTCCCCTCCCATGTTGGAATATGTGGGAATGAACGAGCAGATGTGCTGGCTGCTGAAGGCGCTGAAGGAGACCATATTGAATACTTCATACCCAAGACTCTACTACAAATTAGAGGTATTGTCAGGCAACATCACCGTGACAAGGTAACTGAGGAAAGGAGGATAGAAGCACAAACCAGTGAATCTATACGATGGTACAACATGGTTGCAGCTGGCAATCCCAATTATTATGGCCGTAGAAGAGGTGGCCGCGGGAGAGAATCAGTAATAGCGAGAATCCGTCTTGGATACAAATATCCATGGAGATTCGGAATAGAAACAACAGTTGAGCAGCGGAGTTGCAGAATCTGTGATGAGAGTGACGGACACCGCCTTGACCACTACCTGAGAGTGTGAACATCTAAGAGTCATTTGAAATACGTGTAGAATAATAAACCCCACATTGTTCAAGTTAGGAAAACACTATTTGTCAAATATTGATACTGTTCTTAAGAGATTTCCCCATTTTGCACCCGCAAGATAACGTAAGATTTTAAGGGTTGACGAATGTTAATTTTCTTGTCTGAGGAGCTGTTCACTTGAGACAGTTAAGCAATCCCAGTTGTGTCTGGGTACAAGTGACAGGATGAACAACCCAGCGGGTTTTCTTCCTATTGGGGAGTGTTGTACATGCTGCTATGGCGGTGTGTCCACTCACAAGATGAGTGGCGCTGCCCAATACTGTCACTATGGCGGTGTGTCCACTCACAGGATGAGTGACGCTGCCCAATACTGTCACTATGGCGGTGTGTCCACTCACAGGATGAGTGACGCTGCCCAATACTGTCACTATGGCAGTGTCCACTCACAGGATGAGTGACGCTGCCCAATACTGTCACTATGGCGGTGTATCCACTCACAGGATGAGTGGCGCTGCCCAATACTGTCACTATGGCGGTGTGTCCACTCACAGGATGAGCGGCGCTGTCTAATACTGTCACTATGGTGGTGTGTCCACTCACAGGATGAGCGGCGCTGTCTAATACTGTCACTATGGCGGTGTGTCCACTCACAGGATGAGTGACGCTGCCCAATACTGTCACTATGGTGGTGTGTCCACTCACAGGATGAGCGGCGCTGTCTAATACTGTCACTATAGCGGTGTGTCCACTCACAAGATGAGTGGCGTTGACCAATACTGTCACTATGGCGGTGTGTCCACTCACAGGATGAGTGACGCTGCCCAATACTGTCACTATGGCGGTGTGTCCACTCACAGGATGAGTGGCGCTGCCCAATACTGTCACTATGGCGGTGTGTCCACTCACAGGATGAGTGGCGCTGCCCAATACTGTCACTATGGCGGTGTGTCCACTCACAGGATGAGTGGCGCTGCCCAATACTGTCACTATGGCGGTGTGTCCACTCACAGGATGAGTGACGCTGCCCAATACTGTCACTATGGCGGTGTGTCCACTCACAGGATGAGTGACGCTGCCCAATACTGTCACTATGGCGGTGTGTCCACTCACAGGATGAGTGACGCTGCCCAATACTGTCACTATGGCGGTGTGTCCACTCACAGGATGAGTGACGCTGCCCAATACTGTCACTATGGCGGTGTGTCCACTCACAGGATGAGTGGCGCTGCCCAATACTGTCACTATGGCGGTGTGTCCACTCACAGGATGAGTGGCGCTGCCCAATACTGTCACTATGGCGGTGTGTCCACTCACAGGATGAGTGGCGCTGCCCAATACTGTCACTATGGCGGTGTGTCCACTCACAGGATGAGTGGCGCTGCCCAATACTGTCACTATGGCGGTGTGTCCACTCACAGGATGAGTGACGCTGCCCAATACTGTCACTATGGCGGTGTGTCCACTCACAGGATGAGTGACGCTGCCCAATACTGTCACTATGGCGGTGTGTCCACTCACAGGATGAGTGACGCTGCCCAATACTGTCACTATGGCGGTGTGTCCACTCACAGGATGAGTGACGCTGCCCAATACTGTCACTATGGCGGTGTGTCCACTCACAGGATGAGTGGCGCTGCCCAATACTGTCACTATGGCGGTGTGTCCACTCACAGGATGAGTGACGCTGCCCAATACTGTCACTATGGCGGTGTGTCCACTCACAGGATGAGTGACGCTGCCCAATACTGTCACTATGGCGGTGTGTCCACTCACAGGATGAGTGGCGCTGCCCAATACTGTCACTATGGCGGTGTGTCCACTCACAGGATGAGTGACGCTGCCCAATACTGTCACTATGGCGGTGTGTCCACTCACAGGATGAGTGACGCTGCCCAATACTGTCACTATGGCGGTGTGTCCACTCACAGGATGAGTGACGCTGCCCAATACTGTCACTATGGCGGTGTGTCCACTCACAGGATGAGTGACGCTGCCCAATACTGTCACTATGGCGGTGTGTCCACTCACAGGATGAGTGGTGCTGCCCAATACTGTCACTATGGCGGTGTGTCCACTCACAGGATGAGTGACGCTGCCCAATACTGTCACTATGGTGGTGTGTCCACTCACAGGATGAGTGGCGCTGCCCAATACTGTCACTATGGCGGTGTGTCCACTCACAGGATGAGTGACGCTGCCCAATACTGTCACTATGGTGGTGTGTCCACTCACAGGATGAGTGACGCTGCCCAATACTATTACTAATGTTTTAGTATAAGAACATCCATCTATGTATCTATCAATCCATCTATCAGTTCATATACTCATCTATCCATCCATCCATCTGTCTATCAATCTACCCATCCGTCTATCCATCTTTCTCCTCGAATACCTGTCCACCACCCTTCAAGCGCTTTCCCTCCCTCCCTCTCCCTCCCCTCTATCTCCGTTTCTCTATCCTATAACATTGCTAATAGCATAATAAGAGTGTCACTAGGTCTTTGTAATATTAAATGACATTAAGACAAAATATAATAGTTGTCCCTTAAATATTTTAGATGGGGGAGTCGAGCCTATCTGTGATGAGTGTTTTTGGGGATTATGACCAAACATCGGCCCCTTATCACTGTCATTTTGTGTGAGACTAGCCACAAGCGTCTGATCTCGAACTTCGGAGAGACAGACAGACACATTCTCTTATAGTATAGGTATATAAATTAGCTTTACCACTGGCAAAAAGCTAAAACGTAGAAAATGGAACCAATTTTCATATATTTTTGGGAGGGTCCATTAGCTTCTGAGTAAGAGGGGGGGGGGGGTAAGAGGGCATGAAGGAGGAGCTACTCTGGTGGTGGTGGTGGTAGTCGACCCTGGTAACTACCCACCACAACTACCACCACATTGTTATCATACCAGTTGTGGTGGAGGGATAGTGGTGATTATGTGCTACCCACAGGAGCCTGTACCATCATGTGGGTGTGATGGTACACTATACCCACATGGGTGTGGGACCCCCCCCCCATAACCACCACTACCCTCAACATGGGTATGGGACCCCCCACCACCACCATCACCACTACCCACAACATGGGTATGGGACCCCCCACCACCACCACTACCCACAACATGGGTATGACCCCAACAAGGGCCAGAGACTGACCTTAGACTGACTAAGACTGATAAAGACTGACCAAGACTGGTAAAGACTGACCTTAGACTTGTAGTGGTTGAGGCGGTGTTGTAGTTCAGTGTTGCCCGTCCTCAGACTGTCCTCTGACTCCTTGAGGGTGGCCAGCTGCGCCTCCAGCTCCTCCCCGCGGGTGTTCAGGCCATACACCACCTGTAATACACACACGCTATACAACCATACACCACCTGTAATACACACACGCTATACAACCACCACTCATAACACACACACACACACATAACAACCCGTCCTCGACTCAAGTCCATTCCATCCAGCGGTCGCCCCCACAGACGCATTCATAAATTTTAACTTGCTGTTCATTCAAAACAAGAATTTTCTCAAATAATAATAATAATAATTTTTTATTTAGGTAAGGTACATACATAAAGAGATTTTACAAAGTTTGTTGGCTTTATAGATAGGAGCTAGTACATACAATGCCTAAAGCCACTATTACGCAAAGCGTTTCGGGCAGATATAAATTAGTATTATAATATATTAGCAATATAATATATTAGCAAATATAAATTAATATTATAATATATTAGCATATTGTGCATATATAGACATAGGTTAGGTTAGGTGTTTAGGTTCTGTTGGCGATTATTTGTATTTGTAGTACGTGGGTGAAGCATTTACAGCGTTGTGGTTCGAACACCAGTCGTCAGTGAAACACTTGTTCCGGATATGTTCGAACGTCAGCAGTTGTGAGTCGTGTCAGCCCGTCCTCCAAACAAAGATCCAAAAGTGATTCCATCCACCCACCAACCCCCCCCCCCCCCAAACCCCAGCTGTTTATGAATGAAAAGCGGTTTACACACGACTCACAACTGCTGACGTTCGAACACTTCCGGAACAAGTGCTTCACTGACGACTAGTGTTCGAACCACAACCCTGTAAATGCTCAGCCCGTCCTCCAAACAAAGATCCAAAAGTGATTCCATCCACCCGCCAAACCCCCTGTTTATGAATGAAAAACGGTTTACACACGACTCACAACTGCTGACGTTCGAACACTTCCGGAACAAGTGCTTCACTGACGACTTGTGTTCGAACCACAACGCTGTAAATGCTTCACCCACGTACTACAAATACAAATAATCGCCAACAGAACCTAAACACCTAACCTAACCTATGCCTATATATACACAATATGCTAATATATTATAATACTAATTTATATTTGAGAAAATTCCCGTTTTGAATGAACAGCATGTTAAAATTTATGAATGCGTCTGTGGGGTCGACCGCTGGATGGAATGGACTTGAGTCGAGGACGGGTTGGCTAGTGAGGGCAGGTAATTATAACCATACTAAGTGAGGCTCTAACATTTACACACCTTCCAATACTGATTCTTATTAAAAAAGAAATACAGATTTTTCTGTATTGGTCAAGAGGTAGGTAGATGTACCAACCCGTTCTCGCAAATTTAATAAGTCAATATTGACTTATTAAATATGTGCATAGGTGACATACTTAACATAATAGTTTCCCTTGAAAAGCTTCATAGAAAACACCAACCTTACCTAACCTACTTAGTATGTTAAGATAAGCATCTTATTGTTTCGTAATTACAATTATTACCTAACCTATAATAGGTATAGCTTAAGTAATAATTGTAATTACGAAGCAATAAGATGCTTATCTTAAGATACTAACAAGGTTAGGTAAGGTTGGTGTTTTCTATGAATCTTTTTAAGGGTATCTATTATGTTTAGTATATCACCTATGCACGTAGTTAATAAGTCAATATTGACTTTACGAATTTGCGAGAACGGGTTGGTATGTACTCACCTAGTAGTGCTTGCGGGGGTTGAGTTCTGGCTCTTTGGTCCCGCCTCTCAACTGTCAATCAACTGGTGTACAGGTTCCTGAGCCTATTGGGCTCTGTCATATCCACACTTGAAACTGTGTATGGAGTCAGCCTCCACCACATCCCTGCCTAATGCATTCCACCTGTTAACTACTCTGACACTAAAAAAGTTCTTTCTAACGTCTCTGTGGCTCATGTGGGTACTCAGTTTCCACCTGTGTCCCCTTGTTCGCGTCCCACCCGTGTTAAATAATCCATCATTGTTTACCCTGTCAATTCCCCTGAGAATTTTGTAGGTAGTGATCATGTCTCCCCTTACTCTTCTGTCTTCCAGTGTCGTAAGGTGCATTTCCCGCAGCCTTTCCTCGTAATTCATGCCTCTTAGTTCTGGGACTAGCCTAGTGCCATATCTCTGAACTTTTTCCAGCTTCGTCCTGTGCTTGACAAGGTACGGGCTCCATGCTGGGGCTGCATACTCCAGGATTGGTCTTACATATGTGGTGTACAAGATTCTGAATGATTCCTTACACAGGTTCCTGAAGGTGTCAGGGGGGAGGGTCAGGGGGCACCTGGGTGTCAGGGGGGGAGGGTCAGGGGGCACCTGGGTGTCAGGGGGAGGGTCAGGGGGAACCTGGGTGTCAGGGGGGAGGGTCAGGGGGCACCTGGGTGTCAGGGGGAGGGTCAGGGGGCACCTGGGTGTCAGGGGGAGGGTCAGGGGGCACCTGGGTGTCAGGGGGAGGGTCAGGGGGCACCTGGGTGTCAGGGGGAGGGTCAGGGGGCACCTGGGTGTCAGGGGGGAGGGTCAGGGGGCACCTGGGTGTCAGGGGGGAGGGTCAGGGGGCACCTGGGTGTCAGGGGGGAGGGTCAGGGGGCACCTGGGTGTCAGGGGGGAGGGTCAGGGAGCACCTGGGTGTCAGGGGGAGGGTCAGGGGGCACCTGGGTGTCAGGGGGGAGGGTCAGGGGGCACCTGGGTGTCAGGGGTGAGGGTCAGGGGGCACCTGGGTGTCAGGGGGGCGTCAGGGGGCACCTGGGTGTCAGGGGGGAGGGTCAGGGAGCACCTGGGTGTCAGGGGAGCGTGGTAGGGGCGCGGGAGATGAGGCAACATAACGAGGGAGAGAAATAAATAAACAATGTGTTTATTTAAGGAGGGAACCCTCACACCCTCACTCTGGTACCCTCACACCCTCACTCTGGTACCCTCACACCCACACTCTGGTACCCTCACACCCTCACTCTGGTACCCTCACACCCTCACTCTGGTACCCTCACACCCTCACTCTGGTACCCTCACACCCTCACTCTGGTACCCTCACACCCTCACTCTGGTACCCTCACACCCTCACTCTGGTACCCTCACACCCTCACTCTGGTACCCTCACACCCTCACTCTGGTACCCTCACACCCACCCTCTGGTACCCTCACACCCTCACTCTGGTACCCTCACACCCACACTCTGGTACCCTCACACCCACACTCTGGTACCCTCACACCCTCACTCTGGTACCCTCACACCCTCACTCTGGTACCCTCACACCCTCACTCTGGTACCCTCACACCCTCACTCTGGTACCCTCACACCCTCACTCTGGTGCCCTCACACCCTCACTCTGGTACCCTCACACCCTCACTCTGGTACCCTCACACCCTCACTCTGGTACCCTCACACCCTCACTCTGGTACCCTCACACCCTCACTCTGGTACCCTCACACCCACACTCTGGTACCCACACACCCTCACTCTGGTACCCTCACACCCTCACTCTGGTACCCTCACACCCTCACTCTGGTACCCTCACACCCTCACTCTGGTACCCTCACACCCTCACTCTGGTACCCTCACACCCTCACTCTGGTACCCTCACACCCTCACTCTGGTACCCTCACACCCTCACTCTGGTACCCTCACACCCTCACTCTGGTACCCTCACACCCTCACTCTGGTACCCTCACACCCTCACTCTGGTACCCTCACACCCTCACTCTGGTACCCTCACACCCTCACTCTGGTACCCTCACACCCTCACTCTGGTACCCTCATACCCTCACTCTGGTACCCTCACACCCTCACTCTGGTGCCCTCACACCCACACTCTGGTACCCTCACACCCTCACTCTGGTACCCTCACACCCTCACTCTGGTACCCTCACACCCTCACTCTGGTACCCACACACCCACACTCTGGTACCCTCACACCCTCACTCTGGCACCCACACACCAACACTCTGGTACCCTCACACCCTCACTCTGGTACCCTCACACCCTCACTCTGGTACCCTCACACCCTCACTCTGGTACCCTCACACCCACACTCTGGTACCCTCACACCCACACTCTGGTACCCTCACACCCACACTCTGGTACCCTCACACCCTCACTCTGGTACCCTCACACCCACACTCTGGTACCCTCACACCCACACTCTGGTACCCTCACACCCACACTCTGGTACCCTCACTCCCACACTCTGGTACCCTCACACCCTCACTCTGGTACCCTCACACCCTCACTCTGGTACCCTCACACCCTCACTCTGGTACCCTCACACCCTCACTCTGGCACTCTGTTGGACTCGAACCAGGGACCCCACCCTTGCGAGGCCGAAGCCCTATCGACCGAGCTATGGAGTGCTTTTAATAAGAAAAGTGCGAGAATTTATCTTAGATACAAATACCAATGGAGAGTCAGAATGGAAACAAGAGGTGAGCGGAGGAGCTGCAGAGTGAGTGAGAGTGACGGGGTCGCCTTAACCACCCCTTGAGAGACTGTACCCGTCTTAGACACTTTAGAAATATGAGGAGACTAATAAACTTCACACTGGATAACAAAAACACGCTTATGCATTTGTGTATTTTATGTAAAGATTTCCACCAAGTCTTTGGCACTCTCTTGAGTGCTTTGTCAAGGTGTGAGTGTGTAGTGAGGGCGAGACTTGGTGAAGATTATGCCTCCCAAGAGGTGGTACGGGCATGAATAGCCCGTAGTAACAAGACTCACATCTCAACCACTAATGAGGTAACTGACGTTGCTGTTGTTTAAGATTCGGCTACTGGGAACAAATAGTTCCATGTAGCACGGGCTATGGCGAGCCCGTAAGTGTAGGCTCTTTGGAGCCATTATCTGTATCAAAAGCTGATACTAGAGATCTGGCGATGGATGGGGGTCTTCATGGTGGTTTTCAGCCCTGGAGGGCTGGCTGTACCAGTTATGGAGCTGGTGGGGTTAGTGTAGACCTCTTGGTCTTCCGTTTTTTCTTTGACTGAGCCATGCTGTCGTTGGAGTTTGGTGAGGCGGCCTCCACGAGGAAGTCTTGTACCGAGAAGGTGTCGTATTTGTG